TTAACAGAGCCTCATTTATGCTGGTCAGGGATCTAGAAATAATTCACTTACACCCAATTAGGATCACTATTTCAAAATTGCAGGCTACTTGTCATAGGCCTCTCACCCCAAGCTGTAGCCTTCATTCTCTTGCTGGGATAATGTTTATAAGCCAATTACCACTCACTTACGGGGCAGGGGGTGAGGGGGAATGCTGCCAGTATTTTGATATCAGTGGCAAAACAGACCAAAAAAGCATCTGACATAACTACATTTAAGGCCTAAATATAGATCAGGACCAATGGGTTAGAAGAGCACCCAGAAACAGAAGGGACAGCCAGAGTTCAGTCTGGCCTCCACAATTGCAATTTATCAAATTAAGCAGACTCACAGTGGTTCCTAATTGTCTTCCTTCCATCAGATGCAAGAAGTCCACCAAAGATCGTATTACAATAAATTGGATAGTCTTTAGAGCAGGGATAGGCAACCTAAGGCCTGGGGGCCGGATGCTTGCCCCCCAAGGCCTTTGGACCGGCCCCAGGCTGGTCCTGCCACCACTGCCCGCCATGATGATATTGATTATTGTTGTTATTACTTTTTCTTGGGGTTTTCTTGGCAAAATCTCCACAGGGGTTTTGCCATGGCTTTTCTGGGGCTGAGAGAGTGTGCATGCATATTTTTTATTTTTTTATTTTTTTTTATTTATTTATTTATTTATTTATTTATTTATGGTGCTTCAGTCCCCCAATTGTCTGAGGACAGCAACCGGCCCCCGGCTCAAAAAGGTTGCCTACCCCTGCTTTAGAGTAACAGAACACTTTTTTCTACAACCAGCTAGCATAGCTAATCCTGAGGAACATAACAAATAACACATCTCAAAATTTTCCTTTAAAATGCATTTCCAAAGCAGTTGAAATTATTAAGGCCAAGACTTTACATGAATGCTAAGAACGGCAATCGATCCCTCTTATAATCTCAATGGCTTCACAGTTTTTTTAGACAGATTCTGTCCTGCCACAACTCTGCCAATTATTGCATTAGCTTCTATCAGCAATCCATCAGTACCAAACAATGTTCAATTATGTGCGGAGTGCTGATGCAGATAGGGAGGACTTTGTTATAAACAGGCAACCTAATGCTACTTTCACACAAAGAAGCAGCATGCAATATCATGTATGTCAAAGGTACATGGTCAGTACTGAGGTTTTGGTCCATTTCACAACAGGCACTATATTAAGTATGTAATCATTTTTAATTAATTAACAACTTTCTTTTCCTTTTAACAAATGAACTCAGGACCCCACCAGGCCAACTAATTTTCTTATACAGATCCAGTGAGCCCTCTTTCTCTTTCTAACACCCCTGCTCATTCAACAGATGCTTCAGTACCCAGACTCAGCTGTCATCTTTTTTTAGGGCAGCATTCATGGAAAATATTTTAGAATACCCTAGCTAGCCACTAGAACTCCCACAGTTATTTCACACTGTGGTCATTTTGGGTTCTTCTTGGGAATATTCATGTACAGACCATGTCACCAAAAACACATGGATATTGTTGTCCAAAATTTTGTGGATGTCAATGTAATTTGTCTTGGTTTTAAGATTCTTTGAGCCACCCTGGGAGTTCCAATACTGAAGAAGGGCATGTATATACATTGTTATTATATTAATAAATAACAATAGTAATAATTCACTTGTGACAATTTAGAAAAACACAGGTGACAAGAATTAATGAAATGCCTGTTTATTTTTGTTTCAGAGATGTCCTTTCCTCACAGGCTCAAAGGTACTATCTAAAAAGCTCTTGGTATTTACCAGTAGGGCATATGGGTTGAAAACAGTCATATTTTACCTGTGTTTGCAAGGCAAAGCTCCATTCACCTCCAGCAAACTATGATGCTACTCTTTTTGAAAGATGCTCTTAGCTTCCCCTCTGGCATTAAGTGCATTTTACTTTGATCAGAGAAATGAATGCATGCTATGGCACTTGCATTTAATGCTACAAAGGAAATCATTGGCATCTCTTAAAGCATAACAACTACCCCCATATAGGGAAGCATAGACAGTGGGAACTGAGGGCCTCTTCTCTCAGGAAAGAAAAGCCAAAAAGCCAACACACTGTTAGCAAAGCCCTTCTCCAATCAGAAAAAAAGCAGCCTTAAACCACAACAGTAAAGAGTAACATCCAGGAGGGCAGAGCAATTAGACACCTAGCACAAAAATGCACTGTAACTTTCAAGGCTTTTTTTAATGCGCGATTCTGGGAGGTTCTAAGAAAAAAACATAGAAGCAAAAATAGCCTAAGAAAGCTGAAGCACCGAGGGAGTAGAATTTCAATGATTTATACTCTTACATAGCTTTCTCTCATTAGACTGAGCAACATTTATTCTTACTATCATAACTTACCCATCCCTCTTACTGAACCACAACACCTTTTTGCTATTCTCAAAATATTTCCCCAAAATCTTTAAAGTTTAAAATAAATGATTTCTATTGAACAACTTCTATACAAACAACTAATTTCTACTGAACCATTTCTATAGAAAAGAAGCATTTCTATTTTTAGAAGTGGTGTTTTCATGATCCCTTCTGGATACAAAACATTGTCTTAGTATAAACATCTCTGTTGATATTATCTGTCTCTGTGACTGCAAAAGCATTTCATCAGGAGAGAGATTAATAAAGTCAAATATCAAGTTTAACCAAAGCCTTGTGCCACTGTTCTAGCTCTGAGAAACCTACCAGAACTTATCCCTTTCTGTAGGCAGCAAGTATAGACAGCTAAGCTTATCATATCCCATCGCCATCCAAAAAAAGCTATCAATTCCTACTCATATTTGGGAAGAAAATGACAAGTTCTTCAACAAAAGTATCTGTTTTACTCCAAGATTTATTTTACTGAGACATTTAGAGAAATGCTCACATAGAAAATACTGTATGTACTTCATGAACTCATCAAGTGGAAAATAAAACCAGAAGCCAGAGAACAAGACAGCATTATACATGCTGCCACTTCTTGACCCAATTCATCAAGTTCTCTCGACACAATTAATCTGATTTAAATCCAAGTAACCTACTCAGAGAAAGGTACTGATGTTACGTGCTGTTCTTCTCAAGGAGTTAAAGCAGATATGGATTCTGCTTTATTTAGCTCACTGTCTAAATACAGTCAGCATTTGTTAACAGAAGAATCTATTTTCAATAAGTCTTACCCTCTTAAAAAAATATTCCCAGGAACCCATACTATAGTCCTAAAGCAGTACATTTCACTAGAACCTGGAAATGTTTAGTTTCATTTTGGATTCCAATTCCCAGAATCTCCCAAGCAGAATGGCACAGCATTTCTCAAGACTAATATGTATTCATCTCCTAAACTACAAAAGCTTCCCACAATATTTTGCTGCCTCATGGCAGAGGAGTGCCAAGGACATAACTAAATTGAACCTACAAGGCATGGCGGTACAAATGGCCCTCCATATCCATTGATTCCTTATCTGTGGAGTCAACCATCCACAGCTTGAAAATACTTTAAATTATGTATTTATTCTAAAAAGTAAGCCTTGATTTTACCATTTTATATAAGAGACACAATTTCACTGTGCCACTGTGTTTAACAGGGTTTGAGATTCGATGGATTTTAGTATTTATAGTGGGTCCTAGAACCAAACCCCAGCAAATAACAAAGGCTGTATGACAAGTTCAATTCTTGCTAGAGGACCAAAACCAGACAACACACTCTGTCCTGTCCCGTGGCCATTAGCCTATGGTATGCCACAAGGCTCTATTTTTGTCTCCCGCACTTTTAACATCTATATGACACTGCTGGCAGGAAGCCACCAAGAGATCTGGACTGAAGTATTACTGGTACATTGAATGAAACTCACTTCTATTTCTCAGTTCCATCTTCTAGGGAGGGAACTTGTGAGCCTGTACATCTTAAGTGAGGCAACACCAAAGGGAGGGTCACATTGGATAAAGAAACTGAGTACAAATGACATTAGATGGTGCTGCTTCCCCCCAATTCCAAAAGGAGCAAGCGCACATTCTGTGCTAACTGCACAAGATGTGCTGGAAGCACTGGCTAGGAGCACTTTGTATCAACTAGGGCTAGTATGCCAACTGTATCCCTATCTGGAAAGGTCTGAGCATATCACTGGGGGGAAAGGGAAGAAAACAATGGGGAGATGAGTTACATTATTTGAGTTCAACGCTCAGGAAGGGCAAATAGAAATA